AAAAAAAAACATTTTTGGATTTTAACCTGTGCCTGACTTTCTTTCACTGCTCAGTTCATCACAATGACACTGGTTCAGTTCATTATAGTTTTGTAGTGTCTTAAGGTCCTACTACAGCACAGGTGTCGAACTCCAGGCCTCGAGGGCCGGTGTCCTGCATGTTTTAGATGTGTCCTTGATCCAACATAGCTGATTTACATGGCTAAATTATCACCTCAACATGTCTTGAAGTGCTCCAGAAGCCTGTTAACGAACTAATAATTTGATTCAGGTGTGTTGAAACAGGGTGATATCGAGGCCTGGAGTTTGACACCCCTGTACTACAGCATTTCAATTAGGCTGGGGTCTGCGAATTTGAGTGGGCCATTGCAACACCTTCATTCTTCTTGTTAGCTGTGATTGGGACCTTTGTCGTATTACGTGACCCAATTTTGGCCAAGCTTGAGAGATTCAACATTAGAATACTTTGATAAACAGAGGAGCTTTTGGTCAACTCATTGACTGCAAAGCCAAAATTTTCCTACTCCAATATGGTGATCAACAGTTGCTATTTATCCTGATATGTTGGCTTGTTTTTCACCGATAGCGACTTTGTGCTTTTTGGCCAAACATCTCCGCTTTCATCTCATCCGCCCTAAGACATTGACAGAAGCTATGCAGGGGTTTGTTCTTGGGCGTTTTTTAGCCTTTGAGTTTTTTGCGTTTTCTCTCTTCAGACATCCAGCTGGGACATCCAGTCATGAGAAAAATAAAAACTATCTTGAATGTTCTCCATCTGTGAACAATCTTTCTCACTGTTGACTGCAGTCAAAGGACACTGTCATTCAGGTCATAGATGAGTCAGGGTAATAGTGGTGATGATCATAATGAATGTGCAATTTAGGGGACATGATAAGGTCAGAGAGACGCAATCATAATTACCCAAATGACAGCTAAACCTAGTTGTTCATCTTCATTTGAGGAAGTCTGAACTTGCTCATGATTTTGAAAGCTTGTCATTGGAGGGGAGGTCTTTAGTGCATGCCTCTGTCATATGAAGTTCATCACATTGTTTTCAAAACATCACCAAATTTGGGGAACATCCCTTAATGACTGATATCCCTTTAATATCTCGAACATGTCATATCTAAAAAAAAAAAGTAAACTGGGACATTTACAGTAATTTTTGGGAGGATCTTTTAACCACTTCACATCACTGAAAAAAATTCTAACCAAGGGAGATTGTATTACTTCTTGTATTATAGGCTAGGACTTATCCAGACATGGGGGAAATTAAATCTAATTCACTTGACTTTCCTTAGTTTGGATGGAAAGCAGAATACAAAAAAGAATCTGTGACCAACACTCAGAAAAAGCTGACTCAAACCTTTCTTTTATGAGGCAACAGTGCAAACAGGATGGGTAGATTAAAGACAGAGACATCTGAACATATCAGTTAATGTTTCCCTCTTCTTGCAGTGTTAGCAGTGACATCTGGACACCAGTAATGTGAAGACTCGGTAGAAAGCTGAATCTGATATTTGGATTCGTGTATTTCTGTCTCTTTGTGATGTGGATGCACATCTGTGGGTCTCTGCCCAGCCTATTCATAGACCAACCACTTGAGCAGGCTCGAGGGGCCTCCCATGGGAATCCGTGTGAATGTATAGATGTCATACGGAAGGATTTAGTTTGTTTGATATGATGCTGCCCATCTTGCTCCCATTGCCTATGCACCTCTTTATTCATCTTAATTTTCTGTTTTGGAAGCCTCTTAATCCTTTCACCTTGCTACGTTGCCTTATCTAGTTCTAGCCCCTTTTCCACAGCTGTGTCCTCCTTGCTCCTGACTCCCTGACTTTCCCACACTTCCAGGCCTGTGAACATGACTGCTGTCCACACTGCCAAGGCCAACATTTCTACAGGATTGACCCATGTGGCCAAAAAGATGCTCGCTGCTGCCAGGGGGGGGGGGGGTTGTTTTATGTGTTATGTCAACAAGGACTGCCAGATCAGTGCCAGCTGTCTTCCAAACACCATCCAGTGGCAGTGGCACTGTACCCACAGCGTCCCTGTGGCAACTTCCCAGTGCCAACTGTACTGAAAAAATAACATGGACGGGTGTCGCAGTGCCAGCTTCCTGCCATCACATTAATACAGACTGGCATGGACTGACAGTAGTCTGGCCACATCCGCACACTTATTTGAAGGTGGGAGTGGGGGCATAGGCGTATCTCTTTACATTTAGCTACAGCCTGCGTGTGTGCGCGTGGACTTCTGTGCTGAACTTTTAGCTACTTAAGATGTTTAGATTCTTATCATGATAACATACCATGAGTGAAAGATAGTCCTAGTCAGACTGATAAGTGGATTTGATAACCAAGACTGATAACCCAGAGTTCAGAAGAACTCTGTTGTCTTACACTAAATGCTGACTTTCTGAGAATTTTTCTCTTTACTTCACTTTTGTATTAGAAAAATAAATGAAATCTTTTAATGACTTTACTTTGAAAAGTCTTTTTAATTTAGACTTTGTAGCTGTGCAACATGTTCCAGATGGGTCATTAGAGGTAAAGTTAAGCCTCATATTGTTGTGTAATCCTGTTCTCAAGTCACAGAAAGGATCTTGATGTTGCAGTAATGCAAGCAGGATTTCCTTGGCTCAGGAGGTAACAATTTATAACAGAAACCTTGTATCAAAAACCCGCTAGCAATAAAGACTAGTTAGATTATAGGAAATGTGAGATCAGAATAGAAAAAAATAATATCATCTCAATGGCAAAGACAGAGAGGGGGAGAGGCTGGACTCGAGGAATCCTGAATAGACATCTTTTGGTGAATTCTGTTATCCTCCCCGTCCCCTTAAAGAGCCAATAACTGTGTAGTAGCAGCCATATTATAGAAAGAACATGAAGTGCTTTAGTCTTGGTTTTCTATATTCATACCATGAATTAGCACAGCATTTGTTCAGTGCTCTGGTGGTCTGTTGATTATGGCGCTCTGAACTGACCCATAAAAAACGCCATAATGTGTAACCTAATCATATAATCTTGTGTATAACTTGATGGAAAATCTTTTTAAACATTTTCTTGAGCAAAGAATACAAGTGAACATGTGTTTTTTATGCCTGTTTGACCACTGAAGTCATTTAGATGGGGACTCCAATTTTAAACAAAAAACCTGCCCAGTTAACTGCCCAGAGATGCCTAGTAAGTGTAAAGACTTGCTTCTGTGTACACCTGCGGCACTATCAGTAAGGAGGCATATCTACTCGTAGTTATTGACCTTTGACCTCTACTGGTCAGCAGACATCAGATTCCTTTAGTCACAGCTGCCACTGAGCCAGAAGGGGTCACGCCCTCCCATCTCCTTCCACCTCTGGAAATAGACACAGTGTTGCTTAAGAAGTTATCAACCACTCAGCTTTGCCGAGTGGTTGATTCATGCGCACAGAAGTCAAGAGACTTGTAACACATCTTTCACTGTGCCTGCAGTTTTGCATGTAGGTATTACATTCTTAGAAGGAAGTGAAGGCTCTTCCTGCCCTTCTTTATGTAGTCTATGTTTGTGATTCACTTTGATGGATCACATTAAGAGAACTATGTCGATGTTCCAAGAAACATTTGACACTCAGTGTAGATCTTGTTTGTTTTGCCTACAATGGCTTTAATTTCAGAGATAAACAGTGAGTGATCAGGTCACTGAAACACACAGGGCCATTTGTGCATGTGGTGTTGGTGGTCTTCCATTGACAGATCGACACTGCTTTACAAGTAGAGTTTCCAAGACAGCAGGTACACCTAGTGTGGTTGCCTACCTCTAGAAACACCTCCCTGCAGGGGAGTTTCCAGGATTTTTTAAATCCAAAAGCAGATTAATTTCAGATGTGAACTGAAGCTCAGAATAAAAAAAAAAAGACAAGACACGTGCTAATAAAAGAACAATTTTTAATCGTTTTATGTTATCGCAGGCAGGTAGTAGCTGTATAAATACACACATTATTTTCCAGTTTTTTTCAGAGTGGGTTACGGCTTTAGTTCACATTTGATCAACTTTATTCCAGTCAACTTGTCAAATCTTAATCTGACTGTCCTGTCAAAACCAAGGTAAATAGAATTTGAAGCAGTTATTATTTACATATGATACAAAAATAGATTTCACAATAAAAGAGAGATATATTTACAATAAGAAGCTCTATAAAATACAAATATCTTTCTGTTATAAAAAGCCATTTTTAAAATAACTCTTCCAGCTCAAGTTTTGCACGAGGGAGTGTAATCTGGTCTGTGGCAGGATGAATTGTAATTCAAACAACGAATGCACCTTTAATGGGAGTGCATTACTTCATGGCTGCGCAGTATTCTTGTCCTACAAAGCTAATCTTAACCCTGACTGCAGTCTTTACAGCCATGTGGTCTGAAGTTAGTGCTGGGTTAACTTTGGGAGCGCTGAGCGGCTGGAACTGATGCTGTGGTCGAGCTACTTGGCAGCTGCTCCGCCATCCAGCTGCATCCTGTTGGGTGGTTTTCTGTGAGGGGTGGGCAGGTGCATGTTAACTGTTCAAGGGGGGTCCTCCAGACTTACACTCCCTCCTTCCCTCATGGCCAGGCTCCAAGCTGACTGTGGGCCTCTGTGTCACATGCCTAGACCAGACAGAGACGGACACGGTTAGAGCAGGACTCCCTGGCTCCTGGTTCTATTCTCAGAATGGTGGACGCTCAACTTTACAGGCTGCTCATCGTAAACACTGGTGGCCCCAATAAACACACCACACTCCGTTGCTAACAGAGGAGCTGGCTGACTGCCTGAACGGCTAATTGAATCTCCAACTTTACAGACAGACGGGATGTCTGCGAAAGACGGATGTGCAGTGGCTAAAACAGAGTAGGGAGCCCAAGGAACAGACATGGTTCCTCACTCCCACCCCTGTCTCTTTCCAATACTGACATTTAAAGTTGAAATTTCCGACAGGGTTTACCCGGCACACATTCCTTATTCTCTGATGCAAGTTCCAACTCTGACAAGGCCTGAGCAAAGAGGAGGCGCAGCACAAACCAGCCGTCTATTAGCCTAACATAGTGTAAGCTACCAAATTGCCTTCTCAGGTTACAGATTTGTGCATTCCAAGTCAACTCAGGTCAAATATTATTATTAAAGCCCAGTAGGCTAGAGATGACAAATTTGCATACACCACGGAACATTCCCTACCTCTGGGTTGCCAAATATACAGCAGAGGTCCCAGATTCAGCCCAGTGAATAGCTTTGCAGAGTGCAAAGACTGCAACAAGGAGGGCATAAATTTTGGAATTTTCACTGCTTTTTACATTTGGAAGAACTGCGCTGCTAGTTGATAAGAATGAATGGTGTGATGACAGCTGTTATTTAGGTCACTGCTGGGTTTGCAGTTTATCCTGACATCACTCAAGGCTACACGAGAGTAAGGTGGGGGTTTCTTTGCTTCACTACCACCACATATTGTTCAAACTGACTTGTTTTTCTAAAGACATCTCATCATTATCATTACAAATAGATGTTTTATTACCTGTAGATATTTTCACATTGGAGTTACACTTTACATGAAAAGAAAAGAAAGTAATAGGAATGATTTGGAGGGTTGAACTGGGCTGTATGTGACCCACAAACTCAAATAAGTTTGACACCCCTGCTCTACACTAAGAGGATCAATTTGGATAAAGAACAAAAGCCCAGAGGAAAATGCCTCCGTACAGGGTATATGTACCATGCACTGTATACACGGAAAGAGATAGGGGAAGAATAGACCAGGATGAAATTTATAAAGCAGCGTTCCACTGTGTATGATCTGCACTTCAAAGCTGAGTGACAGGTGAAAAGGGATACGCAGCCTTTCTCTCCAGTGTGGCCCTGGAGGCCTGGAGGTCCATATAGCAAGCCTCAGCCACTTCATAATCCTGACACATCATTGTTTCACAGAAACCTGCGGGGTGGCTCTCATGGCATTTTATGAGCAGTTGTTAACACAGCCGACACAGGGAACAAACGCTCCGGTTAATCCCGAGTAGCGGGCGGCGCCAGCATGCAGGCTAATTTATCATGGGGCTCTGACAGCCAGATTGCATTAGTGCTTACTCTCTAGTGTCTTGTCCAGGTCAGCGATGAAGTCCTCCAGCTCTTTAGTGTCGCCCAGTTTGGCTGCAATGGAGACACGCAGAAAGAATCACGATTTTGAAGCAGTTTAAATATAAGCTTCTTCAATCACTCATTACCACATATACAGTACAATACATAGCTTGTTTATGTCCATGAGTTTTCAAGGGCTTTTACTCACGTTTTGGTGACATTAGGGGAGGTGAGGTGGTGGTGATGGGGGAGAGCATGGTGGGCGAGTTCAGTCTCTCGTCGCTGAAGCTGAAGCTGTTTCTGTTGAGAGACTCGGCACCTGTCAGAAAGAGACAGAAGAGAAAATGCAGGCACATAAGATCAAGCGAGTACTCACTTTTCTCTACATCTGTGTCAGTGGAACAAGCTTCAGTGTGTAATCATCGCATTCTCCTCTAATGACACCCTTTGTCTCTGGGCTGTCGCGTGCATGCCTCACAAACACGTGCGGGTACAGCACAAAAACTAAAGTGTTAAAATGAATCTCTACGGAAGTCTTTGTTTTTCTAGCAGCAAAAATTTCTGGATGACTTTCAAAGCTAAAAAAGAAAAAGTCTCGATGACCATAAATCATGGATTAAAGCACCACTGAGGCTGTTAGTGACAGTAATATCAAAAGTTTTTCTGGGCAAAGAGGTCTCTAAAGGCAGCCAACTCTTCTCCTGCTCTTTAGTAAGATTTATCTTATTTGGGATACTGTTTGTGTTTCTTATGCACCACCCAAATCTCTACACAGAGTCTTACATAAATGATCTAATAGTCACCTTTATTTTGCCGCACAGTACTTCAAACCACCACTCTTGCTTCACAGCAAGGAAGGTTCTGGGTTTGAATCCACCATCTGTGTGGCTGCTCCGGCTTCCTCGCACAGCCCAAAGACTTGCAGTTAGTGGGATTAGATTAACTAGTGATTCTAAATTGTGTGAATGTGAGTGAGAATCTTTGCTTGCGGCAGACAAGTGACCTGTCGGGGTGTAGCTTGGATAGGGATAAATGTTTATCTGACAGCATGAGAGACTTTTTAAATCATTCTTTGTAGAAGTGCAAACCACACTGATAATAATGAATGTGTAGCTGTGAAGTGTGTGTGCTCAAACTAAGATTAGGCTACACTTAAAGATGCCGATGTGTATCTTGCACCATGTCTGAGATGTCAAGCACCCACTTGTTCCCGCCTCTCTGACCAATGCCTCTCCCACAACTCTGGATTGTGGGAAATTGCACATGGGGTAGAAGACAACACACGGGAAGTGCAAGTGGATCACATGCAAACACACACACACACTGATGAGCCCTTAATGTCTGCACTTGACTTGAACCTGAACCCCTCTCATTTCTCAGCTTCCTCTGCTGCTCTATATTCATGTCTGTCTGTCCTTCTTATTCACTCCTACATTCTTCATACCACTTTCTGTGGCTCTGTCGCCTCTCTCACCCACACTGACACTCCAGGGTGCAGCTCCAAGACTTTTTTGTCATCTATCTACGCCTTCAACAGTCAATACATCCATCAGACTTTGAGACAATAGATGACCCCTGTGGGAGACAGCTCGTTCGTCATTACTTCACTACCATGGAGAGGACAGGGTTCAAGCAGGAATCTGATCCACTGATCAAATCAGCAAGCTCATTAGTGCCATAGACATGTGTTCAAACACCTTCCCTGTGTTTGTATCACTGATGTTGCTCCCTGCGAGATCATTAGTGATAATGGCCCCTGTTATTGTGCAATTATCTAGTTTTAAACATCTGATTCTCTTTCTAGTATATATCATACATTCGACTGTTTGGCCATCAAACCTGTACACCCTCTTTCCTCCCTTAGACGGCCCAACCCACTGGCATGTGTTTGGAAAAGTATATTTGCGCATGGGGACATGAAGCATATTTTTCTCTGTGTGTCAGCATATCCCACTTGCCCGCCTGAAGTCGGCTCTACAGCTGGGGGAAGCTAGACTTTTAAGACACTGTATGGTAGAGTGATATGGTAACATATGACAGTAAACCCTTAGAGACGCAGCCACAAAATAGGGGCAGGTGTGCCAAAATATGCAGCTCAACGTGACGCCAACATCTCTGAAGCATGAGAAAGGGATTTTCTCTCACTGCTACTCTCTCTGCGTGCGAGCATACATGAAGGCGTATGCAACAGTTTGACGCTCGACTCGGGTGCCCTCTGGATGCGGCACTGTAAATGCAAACAATACCCTAATCAATTCAAAATAGTCTGTATGCTTATCTGTACCTCATACACCTGTGAGAATGTTAATGTTTAACTTTCAGTAAGTTTAGCAGTGTGGTGATCCCGATTCCAGTTATGTCGTGTTTGCACTTCTTGTGGATGTGGAATGTGGTCTCTAGCATTTCCTCCTGTTGAAAATAATGATTCCTGCTCAGTTTTCTTGTTTAGTTGATGGTCAAATGTTTGCTAGCGTTTATGTAACTGTGTGGTATTTGGGCCACTGTGACATTAATCAGCAATACTAAATTAAAATTAAATAACACTCTCTTATGTTATGTGTACTATATTACATTGATGTGACATATCCTCCTCAAGCCAAGTACACTCAAAATAAACAAGCTTTTTTTTTAAAGGTTTCCTTACTTAGAGAGTTTGCATGTTTTTTACATAAAGCCAACTTTACAGTGTACCTGATAAGACACTACACACCCAAGGCATACAGTGCGCAATAGGAGGAGTGGTACTGTAGAGATAACAAACCCTGTCTTCAGTCTGCAGAGAAGTACAACGTGTCATTATTTTGTGACACTTTGTAACTCTTGTCTGACTGTCTGGGGTCCAATTTAATTGCTCCATGTTAAGGATGACAACAAAGTCGCGCCACTGAACCTTTCCACTGGTTAGATAACCATGGTAATACCGAGGAGCAGATGAGCCGAGAGTAAATCACAATCCTTGCCCACTTACTTTCTGTGTCGCTGATGCCGCTGTCGCTGACGCTGGCGCTGCTCCTCCTCTTCATGGTCTTCAGGTGTTCGTCGTACCTGAAGTGTCGCTTCTCCACCGGCGATGTGAAGTCTTCGATCACCGCGTCGAACTCGCACAGCACATCGTTCAGATCCTCCTCATTGACGAACTTGGCTGCAAAGGGGGGGGGGATAATTCACAAAATTGAAATAAAATGTTACGCAAACTGTTGATGTTATGATTCAGGTCTGAAAATCATTCACGTAGCACATTTTTCTATTCTTATATAAACACAACTGCAATTCAGTTATCGTACTCATATATAAGATGATATTTATATACATATATATTTAAAACAAACGACATTACCTTGAGGCTTCAGCTTTGGGGACTTCATGATTCCACTAGTTCGCTTAGAAATGATCCAGAAACGTCGTGAAAACTTCTAAATAAATAAATGTGGCCCTCAGCGTAAAGTCCCACTTCGTCGTAGGGTGCTTCAGGTCTTTATCTAACCTCCAGGTCCAGGACTGGCGCTTTTTAACGAGCCCCGAGGAGTGGGGGCGGAGACGCAGGGAAGGGAGGGGAAGCGTATGTGTGTGCGCGATCTCTTACGCGCTCGCCATTACCAATAAAGCTTCCCCCGGTTAAAGTTACGGTCCCCTGACGTCTCCTTCTTAAAAGTATGTTTGTAAACAACTTCTGTGTCACTTGCCAGGCAGAAGTGTAATGCAGGGATATTTATAATCACGAGTCAGTGCTTTTCATATTTTATCACCGGGCAGATCATCACAGTAGGGTGAGTAAGTATACTTACTCACCCTACTGTGATGATCTATAGCCTCATCTTTGATGAATGACCAAGTTTCTATAATCAAACTGCGTTTCCTCTCTTTGGATTTAGAAGAAATGAAATGACAGTATGATCAGTGTGGGTCATCTTTAGATCAATGATTAACTCGGTACATCTCAGCCTTACTGTGAGTGATTGATTTTCATTCACACAGTGGGAAACTGCGTGTTTGCTGCTAGAGTTATTCACAAAGAGACAAAACACTGACAGATCCCATAAAAAATCAAGTTATTGAATAATTTCTCTAAAAAATGGGAATTTATTCTGGTTTTATAGATAGAACACTATTCAGGTTGTATAATCCTGCACTGTACTCAGATAGGAGTAGTGATGTATCGGTCGCGAACGAAACAGCTCTTAGAGCCGGGTCTTTGAGTGAACGATGCGAGCCGGCTCCTTATCGCGAGCCATGGTTTTTT